CCCCAAAACCCCAAAACCCCAAAACCCCAAAACCCCAAAACCCCTTGTTTTGAATACATCTTGAAATATTCAATATTAATAAAACTAAAAATAAGAATGGGGCAAGGATGAGGCTGAATCGGAGGCAGAGATGCTATCGAGAACCAAACTCTAGAAGACTGGTAAACTCACTTCTTTCTTCTGTAGATTTGAAGCTCTAAAAATCAACCTGGAATGGAAATTAATGAAACTAGATAGACTAATTATTTCAAAAGATTTTAGCGATATATTCAGGATTTTCATAGATTTACGAATTCACAATCTTTATAGACATAAAACCAGGGAAGTAGCAAGGATAGAGGAGAAGAAGAATTGTATTTCAAATGAGAAATTGGGCAAAATCTTAATAATTCAAACAATATTTCGGACTTTTCAGGCGAAACAACGCTTGTATCATTTAAAATAACACCACTTATGTATTTTGTGATTTTGAGATTAAGAATCAGAGTTATTTTGGGGTAAATTTTAATTGAACATTTTAGCAAAATTCTTTGGCTCAAGAGGAAATTAGCCTGGGATTTGGCCCTGATGAGCGTGCAACTACAATAACAACTGCTACCACTCAATTAAATGAGGTGATCAATTATGATAATAATCTAGATGTCTCTCTGCAAAGGTGTGAAATCCAATGAAAACTTAAAAGAGTATAAATATGATAAGAAATTTGATGATTTATACGTAAAATCAGATAATGTTGACACCATAATTTCCAAAACAAGTGGATCCACCTACATTGGTGGAATCCACCAAGACCAAAAACAAGGTCGAGGAACCTTCCGCTGGAGGAACGGAAGTATCTACGAAGGATATTGGGATTCTAACAAAGCCACTGGCCCTGGTAGGATGATTATTGTCAGTAAGCTCTTTTCTTTACAATTTAGTGAAGAGTGATAAAAATTATGATTATTGAAATATCTATGAAGGTCAATGGAAAAACTCCAAAGCCAACGGCTTTGGAGTTTATACCTGTGAGGATGGCTCCGAGTATAAAGGAAATTGGAGAAATAACAGACCTCATGGCCTTGGCCATGAGGTCTTGAAAGGCCAATTTGAGTATGAAGGAGAGTATAAATACGGTATCAGACACGGTAAAGGTACAGTATCATGGACTTCCACTGGAGATAGATACACAGGGGAATTCATAAATGATCAAGTTCATGGCTTTGGGGAATACACTTACAGTAATGGAAATATCTACAAAGGTGAGTGGAAAGAAGGCCTTTTCCATGGAGAAGGAGTATTCCAATGGGGGAAAAGCTTAAAGGTTGAAGCAAAAGAGTATTCTGGCCAGTACATTAATGGCAAATAAGCATGGTATTGGTGTTTTCAAGTGGGCTGATGGTAGGATATACAAAGGATATTGGAGTGAGGGTAAACAACATGGACTAGGAATATTTATTGGAAAAGGTATACCCTGCTCAATATTTTTAGGGCACAAGACTTATGGAAATTGGGAGCAGGGCAAAAGAATAGAAACATTTACTGAACAAGAAGCTTTAGAAAAGAATGCAGAAGAGTTCACCAAAATTGATAAATTTGAATCAAACAATAAATTAGAATTAGAATAAGACATATCAATAAAAATATCTTACTAGGGGTTTTGGGGTTTTGGGGTTTTGGGGTTTTGGGG